TGCTTACTAATGCAAGGAGCCCAAATAACAAAATCGGAGAACTAGAGGCAATAGCATTCACTAAACAATATGATATAATAGGCATAACAGAAACATGGTGGGATGAGACACTTGACTGGGCAGCTAACTTAAATGGATACGTTATTTAGGAAGGATTGTATGTCAACCAGGAGTTAAAGTCAAATCTTTATGTGGAGTGTGACGAGGAAAATGTGGAAGTTTTATGGGTAGATATCTGCTCGGGGCAAATGAACAGGAATCAATTGGTTGGGATATGTTATAAACCACCTAATGTAAATATTAATGAGGAAGAACAGCTGTTAGAGAAAATTGGGAAAGCTCACATCTGGGTAACACGTTAATTATTGGAGATTTTAATTACCCGGACATAAATTAATATAGAGAGACTAGTACTTCAGCAAGGAGAATCAGGTTTTTGAATGTGTTAAATGACCCCTTCATGTCACACCTGATACAAGCACCAACTAGAAAGGATGCTTGTCTGGATCTGGTTATAACAAACCATGCTGATCTTTTGACCAACATTCAAGTAAGGGAGCATTTGGGAAATAGTGATCACAATATGGTATTTTTTTAAATAAACTCAAAAAAGCAAAAGCACGTGGGGTATACTAAAACATATAGTTGCTAAAAAGCTAATTTCAATAAGATTAGGGCAGCTCTACAACATATTGACTGGCATAAACTCCTCAGTGAAAAAAAAACAAAAAACACTGAGGATAAAAGGAACAAATTGAAACCAATGTGGCTTAGTAGGGAAGTAAAACAAGAGATTAAAAATAAGAAAAGAGCATTTAAAGCATTTAAATCAGACAAATCAGAGGCATCATATGTAAGATATAAGGAAGGCAATAATGCTTGCAAAATGACAATTAAAGTGGCTAAACTAGAAAATGAGAAATTGATAGCCAAAGAAAGCAAAACCAATCCCAAAAATGTTTCAAGTACATCAATTCTAAAAAAACAAAAAATGAAAGTGTCGGTACATTGGAAACAGAGATGGGTCTGTTAGTTAATGAAGGAAAAGGCAAATATTTTAAATAAACTATTTTTCTTCAGTATATATTAATGAGGATCCTATGGCAAGAGATATACAAATGATTGATGCAAAAATCTTGCAGATAACTTGTGATTGGATGACTCAAGACAAGGTCAGCAGTTAAAGAAAATTAATATAACTAAAGCTCCGGGGCCTGAGGGTATTCACCCACGAGTACTTAAGGAGATAAGTGTGGAAATAAGCAAACCTCTGTATTTAATCTTTCAAGATTCTTTTGTTTCAGGAATTTCACCGGAGGTTTGGAGTAAGGGAGATGTTGTTCCTATATTTAAAAAGGGTTCAACATCCTTGATGGGAGATTATAGACCTGTGAGCTTAACGTCTAAGGCTGTGAAAGTATTTGAAAGGTTATTAAGGGATAATATTCAAGAATTCCTTGAGAAGAACATGGTTATCAGCAAAAAAAAAAAAATCAGCATGGTTTTATGAAGCACAGGTTATGTCAAACTAACTTGATTGCATTCTATGAAGAAGTAAGTAGAAGTATAGATCAGGGTGTTGCAGTGGATGTGGTCTACTTGGATTCAAGCTGGACAAACGTGGTAAGTGATGTCCCTCAGGGTTCTGTTTTGAGACCGCTTCTATTTAACATATTTATAAATGATCTTGAACTAGGCATTGAAAGCCATGTTTTAGTGTTTGCAGATGACACAAAACTTTGTAAAGTAATACAATGTGAGCAGGATATTGCTTTGCTGCAGATGGATTTAGATAGATTGGGGTCTGGGCACTAAAATGGCAGATGAAATTTAATGTAGATAAATGCAAAGTTATGCACTTCGGGGTAAAGAATGCACAAGCAATTTACACCCTAAATGGTAGTGAATTAAGCATAACACACGAGTAGGATTTGGGAATTGTTATAGACAACAAATAAGGCAGCAATATGCAATGTCAATCTGCAGTTGCTAAGGCCAGTAAGGTTTTGTCATGTATAAATAGGGGCATAAATTCTTGTGATGAAAATATAATTTTGCCTCTTTATAAATCGCTGGTAAGACCACACCTTGGATATGCTGTGCAGTTTTGGGCACCTGTTCTAAAGAAGAATATCATGGCTTGTGCAGAGACGGGCTACAAAATTGATCAAAGGAATGAAGCATTTTAGTTATGAAGAAAGGGTAAAAAATTTAAATCTCTTTAGTTTGGAAAAACGGGGCCTCAGATGGCAAATGATAAAATTATACAAATATATTCGGGCCAGTACAAACCATTATCTGGAAATCAATTCATAAACAGGGCTATACATAACAAGGCAAAGAAAATGTTTTTTTTTACAGTAAGAACTATAAGTATGTGGAATTCTCTGCTGAAGAGGTGGTTTAAACAGAAATTCGATAAATACTTGCAAAAACATAACATACAGGGATATAATTTCTAATTAGTGTGGTAATAGCTGCTTAATCCAAGGAGATATTTTTGGGGGTCAAGAAGGAATTTTTTTCCTAGTTTGTTGCAAAATTGGAAGCGCTTCAGACTGGGATTTTTGCCTTCTTTTGGATCAACAGCAAAAATGAGGAAGGCTGAACTTGATGGACGCAAGTCTCTTTTCAACTATGTAACTATGGTTCCCCCCTTTTCTTAAGCCCCATTTTTGTGCAATGGAAGGTAATAATGCTGGCCAGTAGATAGTACTTCGTCTTGACCCAAGGAGTTAACCCCTTATAGTATGGCTAGTTATGTATGTGCTTAATTATGATATTTTTGTCTAGCTAATACTGTTTAGCCCAGATTCAAGAATTAGGAAATAAGTGGCATCTTCGCCTTCAGCCAAAACAAAATTATTCATGACTTCAAGAAAGATGTACTGTGATAGATGACCACATTTTAACTAAACAATAAATAATGCAACGTATAACTTTGATAAACCAGAGTGCAATTCATTGAAATAATATTTTAACATAAAAATTGAGGACAACCACACCTTGATCTTTAATTAGTCAGGTAAATGTTTTAAACATGAAAGCCAATGCATGTGCTTGTCAGGGCTGGAATTAATACAATTTGCATTTTACTTCACTCCAAAACCTGCCAATTGTAATATGTCTGCCATTACCCAAGGTTTACAATGTATTTTAGTTCTGCAAAACCATTAACGCTCATAACAACAAGTAGACGTTGGTATGTGCCTCACTATTTTGTATAAAATTGTTCACAGGATCAAAGAAACCCATCATACAAACATCTGTCAACATTCAAACCACATCATCAAAGAGATCCTCTCATATTCACATGCGCGCACACACACACACACACACACACACACGAACGCACACACACAAACACATGTAAATGCTGCAGAATAAAAGCATAATTAACAGCTATGTTAAGTTGCCACTAGGGAATTAACTGTTTTTCTCATCACTGTTTTAATTGTTCATTAGGAGAATAACATTACAAATGTGTGAATGGCTTTTTTTTTCAATATCTTTAATTCTGTTGTGCAGTATCTGCATGCTTCCCTCTTCATCAATGCTCTCTCATGGGTGGTCTGCTGCACGTCCAGTATCTGAACTATCCCCAAATATTCTGGTATTCAGAAGTTGTTACTCTACAACAAAATAATTCTAATCTATTTCTAGTCTAGAATTAAAACCAGATTAATTTGGCAAACATGTATTTTGCCTTTTTAGGTGAGGGAAACAAAAATAAGTAATTTGTAGAAATGTCAAATACACTTGCTTGACTATCTGTGAATAAATCACTATAGCAAATCACTTTTATGGATTCCATACAACCTATATAAACTATAGTTGTTTTTTTTTGTTTTGTTTTTTATAGAGCTCCCATTCTCTGAATGAGTATCTACTTGCTACCTTTCCTTCTTGCTACCAGGGACTCTAAAACACTTCAGACCCAGTCACTGAAGCTTAACTGGGGTGTCTGTTGCCCTCTTTTCAAAACCAGGATACATTGATTATAGCCCTGGAGACTTTCTCTCCCATAGAGCAATGATTATAGCAAGGCAGTGATTGTAGCCATATTGCCCCTTCCACCCAAATACTAGTAAAGACATACAGTTGCAAGAAAAAATATGTGAACCGTTTGGAATGATATGGATTTCTGCACAAATTGGTCATAAAATGTGATCTGATCATCATCTAAGTCACAACAATAGACAATCACAGTCTGCTTAAACTAATAACACACAAAGAATGAAATGTTGCCATGTTTTTATTGAACACACCATGTAAACATTCACAGTGCAGGTGGAACCCTTGAATTTAATAACTGGTTGAACCTCCTTTGGCAGCAATAACTTCACCCAAACGTTTCCTGTAGTTGCAGATCAGACGTGCACAACGGTCAGGAGTAATTCTTGACCATTCCTCTTTACAGAACTGTTTCAGTTAAGCAATATTCTTGGGATATCTGGTGTGAATCGCTTTCTTGAGGTCATGCCACAGCATCTCCATCAGGTTGATGTCAGGACTCTGACTGGGCCACTTCAGAAGGCGTATTTTCTTCTGTTTAAGCCATTCTGTTGTTGATTTACTTCTATGCTTTGGGTCATTGTCCTGTTGCAACACCCATCTTCTGTTGAGCTTCAGCTGGTAGACAGATGGCCTTAAGTTCTCCTGCAAAATGTCTTGGTAAACTTGGGAATTCATTTTTCCTTTGATGATAGCAATCCGTCTAGGCGCTGATGCAGCAAAGCAGCCCAAACCATGATGCCCCCACCACCATACTTCACAGTTGGGATGAGATTTTGATGTTGGTGTGCTGTGCCTTTTTTTCGCCACACATAGTGTTGTGTGTTTTTTCCAAACAACTCAACTTTGGTTTCATCTGTCCACAGAATATTTTGTGAGTACTGCTGTGGAACATACAGGTGCTCTTGTGAAAACTGTAAACGTGCAGCAATGTTTTGTTTGGACAGCAGTGGCTTCCTCTGTGGTATCCTCCCATGAAATGCATTCTTGTTTAGTGTTTTACGTATTGTAGATTCGCTAACAGGGATGTTAGCATTTGCCAGTGACTTTTGTAAGTCTTTAGCTGACACTCTAGGATTCTTCTTCACCTCACTGAGCAGTCTGCTCTGTGCTCTTGCAGTCATCTTTACAGGACGGCCACTCCTAGGGAGAGTAGCAGCAGTGCTGAACTTTCTCCATTTATAGACAATTTGTCTTACCGTGGACTGATGAACAGCAAGGCTTTTGGAGATACTTTTTTAACCCTTTACAGCTTTATGCAAATCAACAATTCTTAATCGTAGGTCTTCTGAGAGCTCTCTTGTGCGAGGCGTCATTCACATCAGGCAATGCTTCTTGTGAAAAGCAAACCCAGAACTGGTATGTGTTTTTTTTATAGGGCAGGGCAGCTGTAACCAACACCTCCAATCTCATCTCATTGATTGGACTCCAGTTGGCTGACATCTCACTCCAATTAGCTCTTGGAGATGTCATTAGTCTAGGGATTCACATACTTTTTCCACCTGCACTGTGAATGTTTACATGGTGTGTTCAATAAAAACATGGCAACATTTCATTCTTCATGTGTTATTAGTTTAAGCAGACTGTGATTGTCTATTGTTGTGACTTAGATGACGATCAGATCACATTTTATGACCAATTTGTGCAGAAATCCATATCATTCCAAAGGGTTCACATACTTTTTCTTGCAACTGTAGCATATCGTGAAACACAACTGATCTTTATTGAAAACAGAACATCTATTTATACCCCCGAAGGCCTTATTTACATACAATGGGCTTACAGTGGTACACAAAGTTTCCCTTTATTATTAATTCACTCATTTTTATTTAATTTTTGCAGTGCAGATAATGATTACAAACTGGCTCTAGGTACCCCAACGGCATTCCTTGAGCTGCTTGGCATAGATAACAGGTAGGGTTTGCTAGGCAGTGCACATTTTATTTTTTTAGGTATATTAGGTACAAGCTAGGGTTACATGCAGGCATTATTGTTTACTATTTGCTGTATGCAGGCTGTGACGAGACCAATCTCGCCATATTGCATTGGAGAAGCCTGGTTGCTCGCATGTTGCCTTTGGACTATGGCCCCATGTTAAAAGCCTTCTTTTCCCCTGCAGAAAAGGCTTATTCGTGCCTTTCTGCCTGGCGGTTGGTAGATTCAATCTACCGAACTAACGCACGAATGACTGGACCATCTGGGAGCTGGAGTGTGTCGGCAATTTACCTCCCAGAAGCTGCGGTTAACCGCAGCTTAATTGACAAATGCTGGGTGGCCTTTGTTCGTTTGCCGAACACGTGGCGGCGGCCATTTTAAAGTCCCGAACAGCCAGCGGTGTTCAGCGCCAATACTATGGAACTGGAAACGGACATTTATTTGCGCGAACACCGCTGAGCCGTCAGCCTCCTTGCTTCTGCATTCAGTCATTTAACCGGATGCCTGTTCGTTCGGTAGTTTAAACCGTTTGAACAGCATTACCCCAGATAGCCATCTATTCGTATGGAGAACAGACTTTGTGAACACTTTAACTACACGGCGATTGGACTGTGTGCATAGGATCTGAGCGCTATTCGGTACTTTTGTGTGCTCAGATCTAAGCTATATGGGGATAGGTAGAATGTATCTGTTTTGTACAACAGTTGTAACTTTATAAATTTTTATGTCTTTTATTGCCATGTGGTTAATGGAGTTTTGCCTATGGCCTGGGAGATAATTGGATTACTTTCCATTTATCTCCAGGACAGAGGGAAGGAAGTTAGGATGCATTGTGGGGATGTTTTACCTCTGTGTGTCTGTCATTGGTTCATGTCTGTCCTTTGTCACAGTCTCCCATTTGGTCCCCTAGGGGAGTGTCCACCAGGTGGGAGACCTGCATAAATACTGGGCAGGTAGCCCTCATTAAACCAGACCACTGCTTGACCCTCAACACGGAGCTCTGTCTCGTTCTTGGGGGGATTTACTGTATGCTGATAGAGACTGATTGCTAGGAGTGTAAGCCCTTTGGGTGCTTTTCCTATTCGTCTGCTAGCAGCTATTCCTGAGGTTCCAGTTCGGGAGTTTGGAGTGCTATTTTGTATGCAGTTCGGGAGTTTGGAGCATTCCCTTATATGTGGTTTGGGAGTTTGGTGTTCTGCAGTACCTGTGCCTGTATCTCTGGAAGGGGAAGATCTACTAAACGGTGGTTTAACCCTTTTATGCCCGGGGTGCCGTAACACAGGCTTTAGATGTAAAAGATAAAACATCACCCCTTATACCCCTATAGCCACACATGAATGAAGTTAGTAAGGTAGGTGCTTTATGGCAGGTGAAATTTCAATATTACCACGTTTAGTTTAAGACCAGTGAGTTCATTTTCAGAGAGTTTCCTTGTGACTGTTTAGCTTATGCCCTCCGTGGGCTCAGCGTGTTCCTGCTGTTGTTCGATGGTCTGCCTGTGTTGCGACTCCCGCGGGGTTGGTTGACAGGTGTTGCATGGCTCGATGGACCTGGACCCAGGCGTGTCCGGAGAGTGGCGTGTCGCGGAGTGCGGGCTGATGGACCCTGCTGTTGGGCGAGTGCTGGCTTGCTGTGCCCCTTTCTTTGCCGCCGGTTTCTGGCCCATCTCCTTAACGGAGCTGAGAGCTTGTGTTGAGCTTCCAGAGGTAGGTGTCCCGTTAGGGTGCTAGGGTGTGTGCTTGCCGCTGTTCTTTGTGGGAGTCAGATCGGTTAGTGCTCCTGGTCCGCGTTGGTTGTGGTGGATGTGGTGGGGTGGCGTTCATGCGCTCTGTTCTTGGTGCTGTTGCGCGTGGCCTCCACCATCTTAGGGTCGGCACCTGGGTTGCGGATCAGTTTGGCAGTGCTGCTAGGCCTCAGTCTCAATCTCTGTCGTAGCGGTCAGGGCACCAGGGTGAGGACCGGGATCACCCCCGCCGGTCCAGAGGGGGGGGGGAACAGAGCCAGTTCCTCAAGGGTCTGAACTCCTGGCTGAGCACTGGTAGGCAGAATAGTGGGGCAGCGGCCGTCCGCTCCACTCACCGCTGGAGTAGGCCTCAGCTTTGGTAGTGGAGATTTCTTCTCCAGAGGACTAAAGCTCGTTGAGCCATCCTCACCCTGGATCTAGTGCCCTCTGCCTGTTGGTTTAGATTTTGCAGGAGCTGGTCTGTCTTGCGACCATCCAGCTTGGCGGTCTAGCCCCGCCCCCCAATTCACTCATTTTTAACTAGTATATTCGCTGAAAATCTGGCTTTATATTTAGTTCTCTTAAGTTTATTTGTTTCAATTCGGCTCAGATTCGCGTATAATTCGACTCCGAATTTTGCTTTCTCTCTGTGTGTATTGTGAATTTGCTAGTTATAAATTTGGTTACAATTCACAGAAAATTTGGCAATATTATATTCAATTCACAGTGACCGTGCCTGCTTCGTGAAGAACTCTGAAAAAGGCAACTGAGGATCCTGATGGCATCTGTTTTTTTTTCACATTTCTTTTGGGATATATATGGGTAAGTGTGCTTTCCTTGAGTAAGGACATTTTTGGCGTTGACAAAGGAGAAACCCAAAATGTTGTTTTTTTTGGTCTTTCAAATAAATTGTATGTAGCACTTTTTATGCACATATAGCACCTAGTTCCGCTTCCTTGCTTCCTTTAACTTCTCTACTTTCATAAAGGTTTTTGGTGGCAGGGGTTATGAGGAAGATGTGTGTGAAGTGTCACAGACAATAATGTATGAAGTGTCCAAACATGTGTCTGCAGACACAACAAGAAGACAAGTCAGGGATGCTGGATATTTAAAGGTCAAGGCAACAGCTTCTCAAGGGTGTGAGACTCATTAATGTGCTTATTAACTCTAGCTATGCCAATTAATACGTTCCTGAGATAGAACATGTGAAATGCTTTTCATTAGCGAGCTGGAAGATGGGATATAAATATCCTTCTTTTTCTGAGACGTGTGCCCCTCTGAGAAACAGTGAGTCTGTATTAGTAAACACGTTGTAGATAGGATTTAGGGAAGTGGAGGATCCCCATGTTTAATGCAGAATCCTGCAAAATCTCAGAGAAATGAATATGTTGTTGTATAGCACAGGATGGGAGAGTACAGACAAGCAACTAGCAGGCTGCTACCTACTGTGTATTACTATCCCAAACCATACCACATTTTCAGGTGTCAGATTGGTATAATTTTGCTGTGGATAATGTGGGTCATAGGGACCCTCTTACTGGCATATTTTTTATAAACAGCAAACAGGCTCTGTGTAAAAAAATTTGTCGAGACTCAAATCTCAATTCTCATTCCATACACAACAATTCAGAGCAGAGGCGGCTCTCTAATTAGGCAATTTAGGTGGCCGTCTAGGGCTTCGCACAGTCTGGGACCTCGCGGCTGCCTAAATCGCCATAGGGCAAACTGACATGTCGGGTCTTTGGTCTATGATGAGGGCCTGACACAGGAGGGGGCCTGGCGGCTTGCCTATACTCCGCCGGGTGTGAGGCCCCTCCAGTCAGTCTGCCCGGGAGAGAGCCAGCCTTCAGTCTCGCGATGGCAGCCAATCAGACGTACCACGTGGTCTGCAGCTCTGCACCTTGTGGACCTGCAGACCGGATAGGGAGCCCACCAGATCACTAGGGATACAGCCTGCCCACTGGACCACCAGGGAATCAATTTAATAAAAAGGTATTTATGACCCCCTGCCCTGTCACAGCCCCCCTACTACCCCCTGCCCTGTCACAGCTCCCCCACCAAACCCTGCCCCAGCCCCCCGACCACCCTCTGCCCTGTCACCCCTCACCACACCCTGCCAAGTCACAGCCCCCCCACCCTCTGCCCCGTCACAGACCCTCACATTCCTGCACTGTCACAGCCCCCCCACCACCTCAGCCCCACAGCCCCCTACCACCACCAGCCCCTCTACCACCAGCCCCCCACCACCTCCTGCCCTGTCACAGCCCCCCTGTAACCCCCAGCCCCCTACCACCTCCTGCTGCCTGTCACGGCCCCCTACGACCCCTGCCCTGTCACGGGCCCCTACCGCCCCTGCCCTGTCACGGCTCCCCACCCACCCCCTGTCACAGCCCCCCCCCACCACCCTGCCCTGTCACAGCTCCCCCACCAACCCCTGTCACAGCCCCACCACCGCCTGCCCTGTCAAAGCACACCTACCACTCCCTGCCCTGTCACAGCCCTGCTACCACCCCGTGCCCTGTCACACTCCCCCTACCATCCCCCTGCCCCAGCCCTCTACCACCCTCTGCCCTGTCACATCCCTGCTACCGCCCCATGCCCGGTGATAAGCATAATTGCTAATTAAATGTGTTTATTAATTTAGTTTGCAAATTATGCCATAACTACAGTAAGAGTCGCGACACTGCAAGCCTCTGAACAATTAATACAGAGACTAACTCTGTATCCAGCGCTGCAGGCTTGTACATCAATATAATTACAGCACCTTATACACAGAATGCAAACCTCAATTTTTTTCTTTTTTACTTTGGGTGTTAGTGGGGGCCTCACGCTTGAGTTTCGCCTAAAGTCTAGAGCCACCACTGATTTGGAGGCTATTTGCATATAATTATAAGATTATAGAGAATCAATTGCACATTCTACAAAGTTACATTTGATTTTGTTATTCAGCAGAACAAAGAAAACATAATTCAAATTTGCTTATTCTAAATTAATCTTCAAATTTGCACTTGCACTATTTTTTAATTCAATAGCTGAAACAGGATTATCTAATTCAATTCTGCAAGATTACCAGAATGTTGCAAGTGCCACACTGGAGCATAGTAAATAGTTAAAGAAACACTTTAGCGTTAGGAATACAAATGTGTATGTGATATAGTGCAATAGTCACCATCTAGGTGACAGGGTTCCCGCTGCCAGGGTTAAAAGTTAATTTTAGTTACTCTTTATCCCATGCAGCGCTGGTCTTTGGCATACCCCTCAACTTCTTTGGTTGAGATGGTTGCGATCAATAATCTAGGCAGATCCAATGCTTTCACCAATGGCAAATGCCACGCTGCACCAATCCACTGGTTTCTATGAGACTATCTCATTGAAATAGTGAAGTTTTATTCCACTACTTTGACAGAAGCGCATCTAGAGGCAAGTTAAACCTGCAATGAAAACTTTGCCTTTCTTGCAGAATGGCAATGTTTTCAGCTGCAGGGTTAAAATAGAGGAGATATGGCACCAGGACCACTTCATTGTGATGAAGTGGTCTGTGTGCCTGTAGAGCCTCATTATGAAGTGTACACGTGGAAAGGGTCATTCTCATCTTCTTGTTAAAAATGAACAGAGCTTATGGAGACAGTTTGTTTTTTAAGAA